TAAAAGAATAACCTTGAATATATATATATATATACATTATATGTTATACTCCTTCTGTTCTTATCATGGCAGTTTTGCGAAAGTTGCAGTCAATATGAAAGTGCATGTATCATGAAATTGAAATTCTAACGTATATTTTACTACATACTAATGACATCAAGCATGAAGATCTCAAATAAAATAAAAATGGAATATTATAATCATGAATATTGTTAAAGTTTTATTAAACTTGTAATTGTAATTCTTTTCTTTGTTTTTAAAAGAAATACAAGAAACGTTCTTTTTGAGATCTTAATGCTGTTGAATATATTTTCCTTGAATTTTATTTTTAAAATATTAAAAACCAACGTGAATTGTTGAATGAGAATAGTTGGAGTGCTTTGTAGATGTACTTTATAAGAAGAGAAGTTGAAACAAATATTAAAATATTTTGATATGAATTGTGATTTAGAAGTGTTTAACCACTGTACAGCGTTGATGTTCCTGTGCGAAGTAATGGATTGTACATAATGTACTGTAAATTACTTTCAGTTTTCGTTTTAAAAAAAGCGCTATTAATAGATGGAATTTGTTGAAAATAAAAAAAATAAATCGTTATTCTTTTTGTTTTAATCACTGTTAATCGCAGCATTTAATATTGACTAATTAGTTTGTATTGTCTCTTTATTTATAATTTGTTTTCCTCATTACTTTATGTTTAGAAAAAAGTAGTTGCACCTCTGTACCATGAGGGAAGACTTCGTTATTCGTTTATTCGTATGTCACAATTGATTATTCCAAAAATTTTTAGTTAATTTAAAATTGGCGTATCCCACACCTACTTCAACAAGCAAATAATTTTCTTTCATGTTTACAAGGAGAGAGGCTTTTATTTTTTCACTACACCGAGTGAGGTAGAGTTTGAAATCGATTACTTTACATTTATACATTCTAAATTTAAATGTTTGGCTGGTTTCTTTATAATTCGAAGGAGGACGACACATGATATACACATTGCCTTACCATTTCTGTACAACTTTTAAATTGTGCCTTTGATACTTGAATTAATAATTGCGCCATAATATTGATATTCAGATGGCAATAAAATTGGTTCATGTACATGAAAGGAATACTTGATACAAAACAATTAACTAATTTCCAATTAAGGAACGACTTAATTATGTACAATTAGATATATTTAATACTTAGCAAAGGAATGCTAGTAAGTAGTAACAAAAACCATGAACAATAATAACGTTATTAGGTAATATCACACTATGCATGAAGTATAATCAAAACTCACCTCATCAATCAATCAGTCGGTTAGTTCTTTGAGACATTCTGGCTTGGCTTAGGACGATTCTGAAGTGAAGTCTTCAAAATTGAAGTACTTGGGAAATGTAACTTTACCGGTATCACTTTAGAATCCGAACTATTTACAAATTGAATGGGCACTTTCACTTCTGCATTATTAGGAGCAATTTTTATAAATCTAAGTTTAGAAGAATCTCCACTGCCAACACTTGCTGTTGTGCTGCTCAAAGTATTAGTCGCCGATAACTTCATTTCCGTAGTTGAATACTGAAGTCTGGTCACATTTGAAGGAACAGAACTTGAGGAAGTAAGCGTCGGCTGTACCGAAATAATAACATTATTCGTTTGTTTACCGGAATTCTTTCCGGAACCTTTTCTCCAAGCTCGAAGGCTTTTGTTAGCTTTTTTTGGCTCAATTACTGTAATCATTTTACTTGCTTTACTTTCTTCTTCAGCCTTCTTTTGTAATCTCTCTCTTAGTCTTTTTGATCTTGGTGGCATAAGACAAACTTCCTTCGTCCAAGACGATGATTTCAGATATGCCTTAACCGGAAGTACAACGCCCCGATCGCTTTCAGAAGAACTTTTGTCAGGACTACTGGAGAATCTTTTGAATATTGCGGAAGGACCAGCTATGGAGTTCTTCCTAGAAATTAATTTCAATTTCTTTCCCACAATATTATTCGTTTTTTCGGGAGAAGTGTCTAATAACGTATTTTCCAATTCGTTACTGCTTTCTGTTAAATTAATAAATGGCTTAACAGTATCATCATTATTTACTGTTGTGGGCTGTAGCGAGCTTTCTTTAAGTGGAGATTCTTTTATTTCTGTATCAAGAGGTAAGGATCCTAATGGATCTTTTAAATCACCATTTGCATTCTTCTTTACCAAATTGGCATATTTTGACATCAATTCAGCTTTCTTTAGTTCGTGTACTACTCTCTCGTTCTTATATCTTTTTTCCATTAACTGAAGCTCCAGAATTTCTCTGATTGCCTATAAGATATTAATATATATTTAACTCTTAAAATAATAATAACACGAAAATAATTTGAAAGATTTTAAATTGACAAAAACAATCTAAAATTTGAATGTTTTGTTTTCTACTAATTACAACAAAATGTTTATGGATTTTCCTTACAAAATGGCAAGCTACTGAAAATAGGTAAAATGGCCTAATTGTAGACCACGGAATAATATAGACGGGGTATACACTAGAGCGTTGGAGGCTATAGAGGGATCTTGAGTCTACATTCGACTGGCCACTCATGCAAAGCACGCATAGTAAGTCATTTATGGTGTAAACATGACTAGAGTTATATGAATAAAATTAAAATCAATAAATATTAATTAAAAAGTACCTATTTAAAAATATTTCCTAAAATAGAGTTAAAAATAAAACCAAAAAAGTTCAGCTAATACGCATGCCCTACAAAAAATTATTTGCCAGTCGACAGTCTTGCTCCATGCTCCTCACAAGACTTATAAATAGCAAAATTCCCGCCTTGACACAAATTCGTTAAGCTCTTGTATATACTGTGACTAATTTTCGTGTGGATCGATTGTATTTACTACCCCACCGAAGTAATTTCACTTCAAAAATTAACTTACCAATCGAATAATTGAAGCAGAATCTTTGCATTTCTGAATTGTTGGAATTTTCAAAAGATCATACGCAAATTTTTTATATTGGTCAAATGCTTCTTTGGTCTCTCTTACATTGGTGGTGCCCATTTCTTCTTCATGTTCAGCAAACTGGTCAATATAAAGTAAAGGCGCTTCTTTAATGTGTTTTACGCCAAACTCCCCGATTATCTACAAATAATTTAAAATTCAGCAAATTTATAGTTTAATGTAGGCACACAAGTATATCAAAAGTAACTATGCACTTGCAATAATCAAATTATTATGTATATAATTTTATTAATCTTATAAGACGCGAATTATAAATCATACAGTGGACAAGACGGGGGCGACAAAAGAAATTCCAGAAATAATCAGAAATATTCCACGATCACATAAGTGAACAGCATATGACGCCCCAATAGTCGATACAAATAGTGCGCGAATAAGAAGACTAAACAGTAAGATAAATCTACAGTGATATAATCAGTTGTCAGGTAAAGAACCATACACATTGTGTTGTTTAAATAAATATATGTAATAACGTACCAGAAAATTCGCTAAAGTATATAAAACGTAGCGAACAGTGAAATTCATAACGCGTTCTGGATTAAAATATCTATCATAGCAGATTTCGACAATTACGTGTAATATATGTATAAGTATAAATACTAATTTCATATTCTTTAAATTTGTAATAAAAAACCTGAACTCACATGATCTCCTTGCAGTACATTTCGATCAATTTGTACAATTGATTCTCCTTCCTTGGGATAAGTGACAGTACATTTCAGAATAAAATTAGCTGGCACAGGAGTTAGTACTTCATTAAGTTCCCTGCAATATAAATATAAAATAAAATTGCAATCCCTTATCATAAATATAATATTATTTTCAATAGTAACATAAATTTTCATTAATGAAGTATATATGTCTTAATATCACTATTTTGAATGTATGCATCAAATTGATTCAAAAATAGTGAACAGAAATACAGTATTATTTCGCTATTGAAAGTGGGTGTTACGTTGTATAGAATGTATCATATGGGTAACATGGTAAACCAAACAAAGTGAAGTAGTTTTTACGTTTTAGGGGAGTTTTTCGTTAGATAGGAGTTTGTTATATGGAGTTTACACTGTAAGTATACAGAAAAGCACTTACTTTTCAAACAGTCGAACTGCCCCACTTAATTTAGAATATGTGCGAATGGTGTTTGAAAATGGACAAAACACTTTGAAAGTTTGGCTCATGGGACAACGCAAAACTTTAATGCATCCCAAATCTTTCACATTAGGCACAATAAGTGCCCTATTTGATGGATATTTCTCCCACTCATCTAAAAATTCCATAATTTTTGCAAGTTCGGAATCTTTTTCAGATAACGAAGGTAATTTAACTTTCTTTATTGATTTTGAAACACAGTTAATTTTGTCATCGACATTCTTCGATTCATCTTTTTCTTTGTTGCACTGTTCTTTATTTTTCTCATTTTTATTTTCATTTTCCTCACTGTCTTCTTCTTTAATTTTTGTATTAAATTCCTCTTCACTTTTTTTTATGTTATCTTCTTCATGTTTTTCTTCATTATTTTCGCTACTATTCGTATCGGAAGGAATATCTTCCCCAGTTAAATCTATACATGTAGGCTGTTCCTGGACGATTTGAACGTCGTCGTTATCTTCATCATTACTTCCATAAGGATCTTCAGCCTGATAATACCAGGCTCCATTTTTAAGCCCACCGCCACCTTTAATCTGATTGTAAAGATCCGTATTTACTAATACTTTATTCATATACGTTAATATTTCGAGATCATGATCTTCTTTGTAACCGTAGGGACCTACAAAAACTTCTTTACTAGATCTAGGCATACAAAAAATTCCAAATCTGGGATGAATGTAATTCTTTCTCATTTCAGTTGATTTTAAATTAATCGTTACATTGTTGTCGCTAACCATGCTAGGTGCTTTAAGAAGATCCACGTATCGTATACTATAATTACTTCTTACAAAGTAAAGATACGTAAAGGGATTTTCAAGTTCAATTAGTCTCCATCTACAACCTCCCTCGATGTAAGGTAGATTAGCGTTTACAGGGTTCTGTTGGTCTTTGTGAAGATTTATTTGACTCTCAGAAATCAGATGTAATTTTTCATATTTGTGACGTGAAAAGAATAATACCCTTTTACGGTTCTCCTGGATGTCTTTCCTTTTTTCAATATTAGTAGAAGTCGTAGTAGCTGCAGTAGTACTAGTAGCAGCACCAGTAGTATTAGTACTATTAGAAGTTACTTCGTCAGCTGTCAAATCAATTTGAAGAGGATTAGGTCGTCCTGTAGAAACATTAAACATTTCTTTGGAATTTGTTTCTATCAATCTATACTTATTAGAATTTTCAAGTTTTTCGCAAACTCCGCAAATTTTACATGATTTTTCGCCCATGGAAAGTATAACTAGCAGATTTTCTTCCATCTTTTCAAACGGAAGGCCAGTTGTCAGCCAACGTACGATATGATTAGTATTAATAAATTGTTTTGATATTTTTGTAAGAACTTTTATATTCATAAATCCCAAAGCTGGAGCAATTTGTCGAGAAGTTATCAAGATTTCAGGATCATAATTGGAATATGATTGCCATACAAACAATGTATTGTTATTGAATTTAACACGAAGTGTTTTCCACGACATTAAACACAGATTTTTCCCTAAATCTGCTTTATTGGTTCGCAAATCTTGTAGTAAATCGTGCTCGATTGGTTTTGGTCCTATTGATAAATTCTGTTGAGATTCATTGTTCACGGTGGGAATGCTGTTTACGTTATTACTGGTAGTGGCATTGAAACTGTTAATTGGAACACTTTCGTTCAATTTTGATCTTTTTTCGCTTTCGTCAAAATCCCTTAACTCAGTAAAAATTTGTTTACGTTTATTTTTTCTAGTAGGCGACACTTTGTCTGCTAGTTTCATATTTTCACCTTTTTCGAAATAATGTTTATTTCGCGCTATATAGAGCTTCCTCGTAGATCGTTGAATTTTTCTTAAATGACATGACGATTTATTTCTTTCTAAATAATAATCGGTTGCTAACCCTTTTGTACGACTACAACTATTCTTTATTAGATCTTCACTTCTATAATTGGACTTACAAACGTCAATCGTTTCATCATCGCTATCTTCCTTTTTAAATTGTTCAAATTCATTTGTTGTGTCCTTATTAGGTGATCTTAATACTATTTGTGGCATATCTGAAAACACAGATTTGCACGAACATTTACAATTGTATTGCTCATGAACCAGGCAAAAAGGAATAATATCGAATTTGTACCTCTTCAAATTAACAATTACATCTTTAAGTATACACTGTGGCTTTTCTTTAACATCTGAAATTCGTTCCACGATTCCTGGAATAACTTCCTTGTGAACGAAATCGTTATAACGTTTTGGAACTTTAGTTACTCGTCTCAGCCTTTCTTTAGGATCAGTACCCACAACTATAGTTTGATTATTAGCTTTAATTACAGTCTGAGTAAATTCCTTTTCGACTTTTGCCAAATCTTTTTTTGCTACATCCTGCAGATGATTGACAACATGGGCTGAGAGAATATTTGTACCAACTGGTAAAGTTAATTTATTTTCTTTATTGTTTCTTTTAGATTTACATGCACAACTTAACATGCACTTTTCCATGCCGCAGTGTTCTTGGACTAGAGAGGAGGGATTACATTGGAGACTGGTGCAAACACAACCCATTTTACAATATTCCTTTTCACATGTGGCATTGTTTTCTGGGTCTTCTACATCAACTTCAATTATTTTAACATTTAGACGCTTTAGTTCTAGAGCTGTTCTTGATTTTTTTCTGCCGTAACTTGGTTTCTTTATAATGGTACTAATGTTTGTACCAATAGGAGAAGGTGGTGTAATTCCCTCTCTTTCTAATGTACCTTTTAAATCAGGATCGTCTTTCAAAATGGCTTGTTCTACTTCCTTGGTATCAACGTAATCTAACATACGATCTACAACATTTTTAATTATCTCTTCTGTGGTCTGCTGTTCGTCAGTTAGAGGGGCTATTGGAACGAACATTTCTTTGTCATCTTGTTCGATGGGTATTTTTCGACGTAGCATCAAGCATTTCTGATTGTTTGCGTACGAAAGTGGAAATTTTATAGCACGATTTATGGGTTCTGCTCCTTTAAGAGCTGACAGAGCAAAATCTACTCTATCCTTGTCTAAAATTACATCATTATTTTTAATTAACTCGCGCACACGGGTTTGAACAGGTTTTCTAAACCGAGGTTCTATTTCCACAAATATTTGAGGTAATTTTACAATAAAAGTTTTCCATTGGCTTTGTAGATTTTTTTGAAGTTTAATTTTATGACAGAGAGGACCGGGTTTGTACGTAACATTGTCTATTTTATTCTCCTCCAAGCATCGAAGCAATGATGGTTTAGTATTCTGTATTACGCGATTTTTTTCTTCCATTGAAATGTACTGCTTCGGTGGATTTATCATAAAATTGTCAAAAATCCTTCCAACCACCTTCTGTTCGCTTGTGCTAACAACCTTTAATCTTTTTCTATTATATATAAAAGTTCGGTAAAAATCCTTCTTATTTTTCGCACGTTTAAATTGCGATTTGGTAAAAGGATCAGTGGTAGTTAAAATCACAGGACATTCATTGTATATTACTCTTGGCGGTTGTGAAACATTCTTTACAACTTTTTGTACATCAAACAATTTCATTTCTAATTCTTCAGATTGTTTTCTTCTTTCTCGTAGTATTGGCTCCAGTTCTCCGGACATGATTTTTCTTTTTTCGGCTAGTGTTTTAGGTTTGTAAATGTCGCTTTTGACTTTAATTGCCATCCCTGTTTTGGCCATTTTCGAGTAACCCAGAGGCATAACTAGTGACGGTTGAGTAACAGCTTCCTCGGCAATCAATTTTGGTACTTCATAGCTAATGTTAAGTTTTGCATTTTTATTCAAGTACTGGTCCAAGGAATCACTAATAAATACTGATTTGCTATCACATTGTATTAATTCTGAACTTTCATTAGTTTTATTACCAGTCACTTCCGTTTTTGATTGCACATACGTTTTTCGATTTAAGCTAGTGCTAGGAATGGGTGACGTTGTATAGACAACTTCGTAATTCTTCGATTCTGATTCGTTAACGGTTTCGGGTAGAACAAATTTCTTCTTCTGCCATCCTTTTATTTTGGTAACGTCTTTAGTTTTAGTTGGCCAAATAGGCTCTTGCTTAAGTCGTCCATTGACCAATGTTAAATCTTGTTCCGGTTTATCACTGTCATTGTTATTATCGATATTAATAAAAGGGTAAACTTTAACATCTTCCGCTTTTTCTTCTGAATTATTTTTACTTTCTGGAGAGTTCAAATCAGGAAACTCTTCCTCGGGAGATTTGTACCCTCCCATGACATTCGTTATAATAAAATCGTTTGAGGTCGACTCAAATAGTTCAGAGGTAACTAATCTTGAGTCATCCGAATTTTCTGAGACAGAATTTTTTCTACTACTATTCGCTTCGAAAGAAGGTCTACGCTTTTTGGTTGCCGATGAATTTGCATTAAAGTAATTAATTTCATTAGAATCATTACTGTTGTCACAAAATTTTTCTAAGAGAAATTCGCTTATTTTTAGAGAGGGCCTCTTTTTAATGTGCGAAGGTACGTTGCTGAAAATAGGTTTTGGTAATGACAAAGGTTCTTTCTTTTTATTTCTAAGTAATTCTAACTGCTCTTTAATTTTGTCACGAATATCTTTTCGAGGTTTTTCTACAGGCTTTAAAAGAATTACATTTCTCGTTGGTTTCCTTTTTAGTTTTTTATAATATTTTCTGTATTTTCTTAATATCTTCGTAATTTGTAGTCGAAGAATTCGACTTTTAAGATTATATTTTTGTTTATTAGCTAATATAAACTTCTGTATTGCAAAGCAATTTTTTAATATTTTTTTACCATGGCCAAAATTTCGTGTTACATTATTAATGTTTGCTCTTTGGTTTATTTTCCCTTTTTTTCTTGTACTGAAGTCATTTTTCTTCGGCGCATTGCTTTTTTCTTTATTTCCATTTTCAGCTACATTATTATTAAGATTGTTGTTTCTGTTGTGGGTTATTCCAATAGCAGAATTGCAATTTTGAATGTCTTGCGAAGAAATTCCCCCCTCATTCTTCGTCTGATATTTTTGAAGTTTTCCTAGAAGATCTCCTACAGTCCACCCCGTCGATTGCAGAAGATTTTTAATGGGTTCATCTATGGTTTCCATTCCAAATGCTACACACACAAAATATATTCATTAATAAATTTAATTGCAATATGTATTTATTAAAATAGGCTAATTAAGTTTAGAGAATATATAATAATTAATAGTTTTAATTACTATCTTCTACTGTAAAATATATTAGTTATACAATAAATAATTCTACAAAATGATTTGAACTTTAT